TAATACCACGATTTTGCAAAAGCTTCTCTAACTAGGTGACCATCACACATGCAAAATTTTAGTATTTGCTGAAATGTAAAAGTCATCAGCTTTTCTTTAGACTTAACAATTTAATATGATCCAAACACATCGCGGTTATCGAGAGCCTCATATTTTCATGGGACCTCACTTGGTTTTTTCCCCGAATCTAGTAACGGACATATCAAAATGCAGAGACATTGCTTATTGCAAACATTGCATCCATTGGGAAAAATGAAACTGCAGATAGTGATTTGTTTGGAACAGGCAACACTGGAGAGGGAGGCAGCTCTAATGCCTACATGTGATGACAGTATAGGGAGAGAGGCTGAAGAAAATAACCGCACTTGGAAATGACAGACAAAGCAAAAAGATGCGAAAGAGATGAGTTTAAGGGTTGGGCTGGCTTGTTTTTTTTGAGTTGTGATTTTAAAAAAGGCTGAAGCAGTAAAAAAAACACAGAAAATAAATAATATTTCTGTATATGTTCCAACTGACTAATTACTAATGTTACAAATATGAGCATTATCCATAATTGTTACAGTGAATCCTAGTAAGAAACATATTTCTTTCTCCTCCACTATTCCATCTTCCACATTGCTTAGAGTGTAACATATTTATTGCAAGAACTTGAAGTGTAACTACTACATAGGCATAAGCTTTAAATTCTCTAAGTTTAACAATACTTAGGTCGTGGAAGTGCAACTCTGAAATGATTTTTTTAATATATAATCTTGATATACATATATGTATATACATGCACACACTTATACTGCGCGCATGTATATATATATATTTTATATATAATGTTTCTCAGAAAGCTCCCAAACACCTATCAATTCAGTTTCCCAGATGTGGAATTTGATCCGACTAGTAACAACCTGTCAGCTTTAAATATTGGACTATTTGTTTCCCTGTGTCCAGTGCCTAAGATCTTGTTAATTACCTAAACTCTCTTTCTGTAGGTCTTGTTAATTACCCGTCTCCTGTCTCAGAGGACCTTGTTAATAACTTGCACAATCTCTCTAAAAAGGTCCTAATAACACATTAAAATTAAAGATGCTTTTCTTTTAGCACTTGTCAAGTGGTGTAAATTGAGAAATTTTCACATCAGTTTATTAGCCTACTGTAGTGTATTTTCCTAAACACAAACAATTTCAGAGAAATGATGCGCGAGGTTTGGTCACGGCACAAAACAATCTTTGTTTTCCAGAAGTATCCTCAATTTCTGTAACTGTGTTCAATACAAAATCCACGTGGCTCCCAACTGCAAATTAACCTCTTGAGAGCCAGGACAATAACAGTAATTGTAAAAATGAGTGCAACTTACAATAATATTAGGTAAAAGTTTCAAAGAAATGGAATAATAAGTACGGAGGCAAAACTATTATTGGTAAATGCTGGCTAAAAATACCAGACATATTGTGCGCTTAAAAATTTTTCATTGGCTGTATGATATAAATCCTCTGGAACTAATAGATTTTGTAATATTTGCAAAAACAGCGTTTCTTGTTTCACTATGAGACTGCAGCATTTTTAAATTGTCAAGAAATCAGCTCATAAATATCTATATTACACCTACACCAGACAATAAAAAACCCCAATCTTAGCACTTATGTAATACTGTATTACCGTATCTATAAAACCCTTAAAAAATACTAATTTATCCATTCAGCATTTGTAAGAGGTAACAAAATATCATCCCCGTTTTACAGATCAGGAGCAAGGAGACTAAGTGATTTAGCCAAAGCCACAGAACAGGCCTTTGCCAGAGCAGAGATTAATAGAAATTAGGGTCCATATTTTGTGATTTCCTGACAACTAGTATTATACACAAACCAGGCAGGTTTTGTTTTGCTTTTCCAAAATAGTTCTTAAACCTTCTTGAAATAACAATAAGTCATAGTAATAAAAATAAATAATAATTTTCAAATAATCCTGGGATACTTCTTGCTTTTAGGAAAAAAAAATAATCCTATAACTGTTGCTAAACCACTTCCACATTTTCTGTATCAGCAGCTGAGAAACACGTGGAAGATGTATTTATCTTCATTCTTTTAATTAGTAAGTAAGAGTAATTAGTGGCACAGTACCTATACAGCCTGCTAGCACTTAATGACTGGTTGGATGAAGGGCTATTCAGCAACTCTGTCCTGCAACTCACCTAGTCAGAAGTTAGTGAAGTTGTCAGCAGCTGCTGTCCTGCACAGCATTGCTGCTTAGTCAACATTACCAAACTCCATTAATTAGGATGGACTTGAGCCTGACCCAAAGTTCACCAAAGCCACTGAAAAGACTCCTACTGACTTTACAGGCATAGGTTCATCGGTGCTAAGAACCTGACCTTCACACTCTGCACATGAAGGAGTTGGGTTTAGTCATTTTTTTGAGGGTGGGTTTTTTTTTTCTTCCACTATCTCCAGCCTTGCCCCACGGACTGGATGCCCTTTTGTGGCTACAGTGTGCTCCTGGAATACATTTTCCAATTGAGTTTCATCAGAGAGGAACCCAGTTCACCTGCCCCAGGACCGTTCCATCACTCAAACAAAGGCTTAGCTAAGTGGGTTTAACTGGGAGATCACCCTGCAAAGCAAACTCCTCAACCACACCAGAACACTGATTTTGGACACACCTTAATAAAAAGATACTGCCTGGTTTACTTGTGGAAATGGTACCCATCCAAAAGAGCTTAACAGCATCTTCAGCAAATAAAACGCAACTCAGAGTCTAAATTCCCTGTGTGTGCCTTCTGCATACTGAATCTGTTACTCAATCTCATGTGTTTTGTCCCCACAGACGTACACAAGTCTTTCTTCACGGTATTAGTAGTTCGAAAATTTTAAAATGGATTCTATTCAACAAATCCTCCAGATAAAAGGTAAACTTAAACTGTAAACTCATTAAACATGCACATTTTATATTAGTTTCTACTTCAAAAGAAAATAATTGTACAAGATACATTTGAAAGAAAGTGAACTTATTCTAAAAGATTCTCACAGAACATAATACTGGAGCGTATAAAAAGTAAGAGCTTCTAACTTAAATTATTGCATGCTAGATATTATTCCGTAATAGCTGTCTTATAGAAAAGGTCAAAAATGTTTACTATTTTTTGTTTTTTGAAAATAACAGAATATCTATTTGTCTTATCAAAAGTTTATGTTTACATAAAAGTCAAGAACTAGTAAAAGAGACTCATACAAAGAGAAGGAACAAATGACTAGAGTCCTTCTGAATGGGCACTGTGATGAGCTTTTTAGTTACAAAATAAAGAAAAAAAAAAGTCCATCGTGATTACCGTTAAAGATTTATATTTATCAAGATCTGCTGCATTCAAGAACTTCAAGAGATTTCTCTACTTATATCTAGCATCTGCTTGAATACATTTTTTCATTTAAAAAAAAAAAAGCTATGTAATTTTAATTGTTATTTAAATTACTTGTCTTTAAAGGAGCTTATTTAAATGGAAGTTTAAGTTCTGACAAACCAAGCTACATCCTAACCTTATTCTAATCTAGAGAAATCCTTTATTACATAAATAATATTCTAGGACACTGTCTGTAAACATGTTTTTTAAGACACTAGGAACTGACTTGACTTGTAGAAGACACTAAGAAGATAATTCACTGAAGTCTGTATGAGCTTGTAGCAACCAAATCTTTTCTATAGCCATTCCATTTCAGTTCATTTATCTAATTCACATCCATGATTAAATTTCTTGAGAAAATTATTATAAACTTATATCAGGAGTGCATGCATTCTCACCTATAAATAAAACGGAGCTGGGATACAGTAAGTTCAATCTGTTCTAAAGTCTTAAAGAACAACATAACAAGAAACAAATTACTTTTTTTTTTTTAAAGACAATACTACTGTGTCATTAATTAAGGAACTAACAGACAGTGAAAAGGCACATTTGTTAGAACCATGTTTTCCATTTACAACAGTGATTTATTTTACAACCTTAAAATTCCAGTTTGGAGCATTTTAATTTTAAATTTAAATTCAATTTCTATCAAATTTAAGTCATTAAATAGAAACAAATCATTACTTTGGAAAAAAAAAAAAACACAAACTTTTAATTTCTAGCATTAATATACAGAAAAAAAAGAATACAAATGAATAACAGTTGAATAATTAACTGATTAAACATTTGTCCATCGGGAACAGTATATATGTGTGTATATATATAAAGAGAGAGACAGTATATCTTCCTCACTAGCAAACAAAAGCCAGAAAGGAAACTGTGGGATGTACTTTTGGGTGTTTGTTCGTTTGTTTGTTTTAAGGAAAACAAGTAAACTGTTGATAGATAAACAAAGGATAAAATGGATTATTTAAATCAAAGTTTCTTATCAACACTGGTCACTCTGCTTAACACATAAACTACTGCCTTGTGCAATGACTTGAATACACAGGAACTCAGTGAGCCAAAGGAATTCAAGTGTGGTAAATGCCCATGTGGGTGCTCCCATTTAGAAACAGAATGGTCGTCAATTCTTGTGCTTTAATGTATAGAATCTAAATCCTTTTTTTTTTTTTTCCCAAATGGTGAAATCCACAGGATTTGTTTTCATTACTCAAATTTTTTTCATCCTTTTATTTATTCCATTTCATCTTTGGCTCAGACTTGAAACTTCTGCCTCTAAAACCTTGGCTTAGGGCAGTGTAATAATTAGCAACGAGTGTTCAGTTAAAGCAGAACTTTCAGGAAGAACCTATTCTGAAGCACGAACAAGGTCTTCCACAAACGCAAGTACCCAAGAACATTCACAGTACATATTAGTAATATTAGTAATATAAATGTAATTTCAAAATGAAGAAAAGATCAAACTATATAAAAAGTTCATAACTTTTTCTTAGAAACAGATAAGCAATGATATAAACGTATATAAAGCACAAAGATTGTGTTCCTCAACACTTCACATTTTCATTTATATAACATGTTCAAGATATCAGATCGAAATACAGCAAAAACCTACCTTGAAGATGGCAACATGCTTGTAGGCTTGTAGTTTGTCATAAACGGATTAGTCGAATCATAATCAAAACTCTCCTGATGAGTTTCACCAAACGCACTAGGTGATTTCAAGTCAGTAGAACTGTCTGATCCCCCATTGCTAAGTTTATCTGACCTCTTGCTATCTTTTTTTCCAGTCACTCTTTCAAAAAGACTAACTTTCTCTTTTTTCTCCTTTTTAATTTCTTTTCTGATTTCGACCGCTTTGGAAAACAGACTTATGTTTGGATCCCATGTTGCTGGGCTTTCTTCAAATGGATTCTTCTGTCTTGGCAGTGTAGCAAATTTTTGGGGTAACGAAGCACTCACATTGGTAAATGGGTCATTTTGTGCTTCAAGTGCAGCTTCGTCAACTGTGCTGTCAAGCTGGTTCATTTTAGAAGTATCAACACTTAATGTCCTTCTATGTGGAGATTTTAGACTCCCTGCAAACAATCCGTCATTAGTATATTATCAATGAGACACTTAGCATAGTTTCTGACATGCAGAGAACCCATGTTAGCTCCGGTCTAGCAGCTTTGCAACTGAGCCTCAGTTCAAAACACTGCTGAGTAACTAAGCCATTGGAAACAAAAAAAAAAAAAGGAACAGCTGTGGCCTTAACTTTGTGATTCAGAAACATTTATGGATGGACACTACAGCAAACTTTTGTTTCCTGTGTGAAAAGTAAGTTCTATAAAGAAGACAGCTATGACTAGTGTGCCATTCCAGAAGGCAACAGTCGTCTATTGCTGCATAACAACTTTGAACAATGCAAAGTATTTTCAGCTCTTCATATAAATCAGGTTTAAAACTTTCGTGATAGTTTTCAACTTTTTAAACAGACTTTTATTTTTCACAAGACGCTATTTTGCCCTCTAGAATGCAGTGCTTCCCTACAATATACTCTCAAATGAAGACATAAGAAGAAAAATGCTAAATTACCACAAATTATGACCAATATAATTTATTTCTTATGCTCAGAAACAGCAGTTATGAGTTACCACCAACTAATGGAAGTGAAGAAAAAAAAAAGGCCAGCAATAATTCTTAACTTTTTGGACTCGTAATTGCTTCATAAACTAAAGAAACAGACTTTTGAATGCTCTAATAGCAGTGAACTGTAATTATAACAGTCATGAGTTTTACTTACCACCCTCATCAACCGAACCAAACGATTCTAGCTGACGCCTGAAAAGATGAGAGTAGCCAACTGTGCCGGATTTCATTTTTTCTGAGGAGACGTGCGATCCCGTTAAATCTGACATTGAATGAGCTGAGGATAGCCGCTGAGGTCCCAAAAGGAAAGGTTTTTTTGGTTTTGATTTCATTTGTACTTCACCACTACATACCTCTACATTTGCATCAGGTATGTGAGTACTCGGGATGATTGCAGAGGATGTATCCGAAAAGGTCCCATCATTTTTTCGACCTTTCATTTTGTCTTTTAGTTTAGCAAAAGGGGACTTAGTTTTGTCCTTCATTGACAAATCAAACATACTTGCTGTCATGTTGTTCCTCATAAACTGAATATTGACCTTTATTTCTCCTCTGTCTTTAGTTCTCTTCCCTTGTCTGGACTCTAGGTGAAACCACCTTAAAGGAGAAAAACAGCAAGTTAAGTTGTGTTTTCTGGAGGCTAGTCATTAAATTCTGGTTAGTTGGTTAATGTATCTGGCTAGAATAATTTAAAATATGAAACCCAAATTCCATACCAAAATTTAAAACATTCCTGGTACTGAAAAACTTTTTTGTCTATATTTGTTTTTGAAGAGAAAACTTAGTAATTAAGCAAGCACAAAGCTCTTTGCAATGGTCACCTGTTTGGAGAACCAAAACCAACCCAGTGGAAGCTTACTAAACTTCATCAAAGCTGATGGGCTTACATCTGCTTCCGAAGGAGAACTTGTATCTAAATGTTAATTATAAATATAAACACATTTTATTTTGCTTTTTAAAACACTTGATATTTTTCAAGTGGCCTTTATTTAGCAGTGACGCATATTACCTGAATGTATACTATGTGGCAAATATTTCATCTGGTAACCTTTTCTCCTTTGATTTTGCTCAGGTTTATATGCTAGCGAATGTTTCTCCCCTCTGTCCCTTCCTTCTAAATGCTGGTTAAGATTTATGTCAACTGCAGTAGCACTAGCAAAGAAATACATATCTGAGACCCCTGAATAGTCAACCATCATTTCGTTCTGCAGCTGCAGCCCCTACTAACTTCGACGGTAACTCCACGAGCAGTGGTGGGAGATCAGCGAGTGTGTAGGACTATCTAACAGCTGTCCCTTCTTTTGCAGGTCACCAGTAGGATTAACTTCAGAAATATTTCCACAGGCTTTGGAGCCATGACATAAACCCCCACTCCTTGAAAACAGATCAAAGGTGGATGATCTGTTTCAAAAAGCCAAGTGTGCTTCTTTGCCAGGTTCAATAAAGGCTTTATCATCCAAGCATCTTATTCATTCCCTACTGTGCTCCACTGTCCCTTGGAAGCATCTGCAGAATTACGGCTCAATATTCCTTCACCTAAATGAATGACTGACAGACAATCCCTTCCCCACACCCATCATCAATAGTCTCTTCCTACTTCTAAAAAGGGCACAAGGGCACATTTCAGATCCGCCAGCTCCACAGAAGTGCTGTAAACCAACAGTCAGGAGAAACACATCCACGCACGCTAATGCAACAGTGCATTGTCACTGTGACGTAACTTTTGAACGGGAGACTAAGAAACGAAATTGCCTATCAGCACAGATGCAAAATTGATCATGCAGTTATATATACATTATTCAATACTGCCAAATATAGAAAACAAGGTCAGGAAAGGAGAAAAATAACCCTCAATTTCCTTTCAGATTTCATAAATATTTTTAAAGGTGACAGCTGAAATAAAATTTTCAGGCAGAGATACTATTTTTTGAGTTGAGAAAATACTTCTAAAAGTGACCCACCAAAGAAATAAAAAAAGGATAAGGAGTATTATGACTTTGTTTGTTGCTCTGTGGTATCCAAAAAGTTTTCTATCCCACAGTAAATCAGAATAAATAAGAAATATCAGACCTTCTCTGTCCTGACACTGGACAACATGAATCCAGTCCAGTAGATCCAGAAGTTCAAACTGGCAGAAGGACAATTAAACCTTTAGGAAGAAAGTTTTTCTTCTGTTGTGAGGCAACTTCATTTATGTATTTTAAATGAAAAAGCAATCCTGAAATATGTTATGTGTCTGACGAAGATGGATCATTTTCCCTTTTAGTTAATAACGTTTCACTTCTTGGTAACTGATTCCAGAAACTCTTTAATTCATCTACAGAGTCATTACAGAAAACACACACAACAGAACCAAGAGTAAACCTTTTTTGTGATATAATATTGCAAAAACTGGAAGACAAGATAGCCTACTTTCTTTAAAACTCTTCTTTAAAAGAAACTATGTTCATATATTCTCTTAAAAAATAAAAACAATACACAGCCATAATGAACAGGCACTTGCTTATAAATCTCCATCAGACAGATCTTGCCGGAGCAAAAAAAAAATATAAAAATCCCCAAACAAAAATCCATCCTGAAACAGAGAAATTTCTCACCATGATTCCTGTGATAGACACTAAACATCAACATAAGTATAAATATAAATAAGGCTTATGAGTGTTTGAAGAGGCTTAACAGGCAGAGAGGACCTCTCTTTTTGACATTCAAGCTTAATGGCTCAATCTGTGCTGTAAGAAAACATTTTCCCCTTCTCCCTCTTTCCCTCCCCTCCCAGGTCTCAAGCGTTAATACTGGATCTCTGATAAGATTGCTGAATTTTCATATGTTTCTACTTAAGAATTAACAAAACTTTAAACTGATGTATGACACTCACTAACTTTTTTTAGAACACTATAAAAACATAAATTCTTTAGCTTTTGCTGTGTGGAATGTGCCTTTTCTTTTAAAACTTAATTTAACTTAATTATTGACTTTCTTATCGTGAATCAACAAGCACTCTGTGCCACTACCAGTACTCACCTGCTAATGGCATGTATCTACGTACTGTTTTGACATTCACCAGGTCTGAAGGAAAGAATTCCAGCACACAACTAATATGTTGCCTTTGCAGCTTGAACATTTCTTTTCAAAGTAGACTTTGAAGAACTTGACACTAAAAATAAGTTCAGCTGGGAAAATAGAGACTCTCCTTACCCCAGGAAGACAATACAACTGCATAAGGGACTGGACCTCACTCATACCTGCTGGGACCAGGTTCAACACTACTACTGATTCCAAAGAATTTAATCATAAACTCTTTATTCCAGCAAAATTCCTCTGGACTTCAGTGGAATTTCTATTTGAATAATGATTGCTGGATCAAATCTTTGTATAAAACACAGATATTTAATTTTCATAGGCATTTCAAGGAGGTTTCTTTGTTACCTTGGAGAGTTTATCTTGTTTTAGTTATAATGAAGGTTCCATATGCTTCAGCTCATAACAAGACAATATGAGAAGCAGACTCAAATCATGATTTTCTTCAAATTCAAAGGCAAATAATTACTTTTTTAAACAGATGAGAACAAATACAGGCAATGCATTTGTGTGGAGCTACACGTGAATGAGCAACTGAGTCTGTAAATGTTTCTTATTAGAATCTGTTTCTACAACACATGGGTGTGAGCAACAAACAGAAAAAAAAAAAAGTGCTGCACAAAATAGAAAAAGGAATTGGAAAATGAAGTCCACTGTTTTCAGATAACAACATTTGGGTCCTAAAATACTAAATTCCACTATACCGCTGCCAATTTAAAAAATTGTAATGTATTATAAAAGCCAATAAAACTTGCTATTTTGGTTTTGTTTACAGTACTTTTAGCCACAATAAATGCTCCATTTGTCAGGCTGCCATAAGCTTATTCTATAGAAAGCCTGTACAAAGTAGGAAAATAGCCAATAACATACACGAACAAAACAGGGTGGCTTTTACAAGAGCAGATGCCCTTTTATTTAATAACCAAATATTACATCCAGTCTTGCAGACAGTCTTTATTTAAACAGACCTTGTACAAAGTCTGGCAAATTTTCCCAACTTCAAAGGAAGCCCTATTGCCTTCTGAATCACATTCATACTTCTTGCTCTCACCTTCAAATGTTCTGTAGGACAACATCCTCCATACACCCTCTAATTTTGACTTTTCCCCTATGGTTTCCATCAGGACAACCCTTGCTTCTTTTCTCATCTGTTTTTGACTGCGCTAATGGGCTTCGCCTGTCTTGCACAGGTTTCTGATCATTTTTATTTTGTAAGTATTATATGAATTGCCACTCTATATGCCGACAATTTTTTGGAACATGTAAAGAGAAGATCAACATTCAAGGCTGAAAAATCCTGCTGCCCAGTCAGCCCTGAAAAACTCAAACCCTATCTGAAGAAACATGGCCATTTTCTAACCATGACAAAATCACTCATTTTTGGCCATACCTATAACTAGGCGTGGAAAAAGCAAACTCCCCTATTTCTATGAAAGACAGTAACCATCTTCTGCATACTATTAAAGTGAATTCCACAGTATCAGCAGTATTGACCCCTTTTCCTTAGACAGGAAGGTTTAAGGAGAAAAATAAGTTACTATTAATGAGCAAGTGAGAAAATTCTGGCCTGCCTATTCCACCTAGATAGCTAGTGATGTACAAACACATTTTCAACACAATTTCTTTACCTGTTCTTTTCCTCCCTTTCTTCTGATTTCACCTTCTTCCCATGAACTTGGTTTTCCAACTCACTTTTGCTTATCTACACTATTCTCATTGCACCCTTCATCCTGCATTCAACAAATATTTTGAAACCAGTATCTTGTTTCTCTTCTCCTAATAGCAGGAAGCTGATGTCGTGGTGTCTTACCCCCCAAATTTGCCATGGAATTTGACAGTTCCAAGTCTTAGCCTTCTCTCTTCTTTGAAGAGGCACCAGTCAACCTATTCACCGTGGAACAGTGAGCAGGATAGGCTGACAGTATGGGTAAGAAAAATAATAACATTATAGGTAAGAAAAAACACTATGTAATTTTAATTACATTTTAATTATATAGTTAAAACTTTAACAGCCTCCAAAAACACTGGGATACTTTTCTACTAATTTCAACAGGAATTAGAAATCTTCTAGCGAGCACATTCAACCTGTGCATGACAGATGACCTTCTGACTCCATCTTTTCATCTGCGCCAAAGATGGAAACTACAAAACGAATTTTCCCACTCATTTTGCTGCTTCTCAAATACACCATTCTGCCTTCACTCTACCAGTAAATATCTATTGAGCTGATCTAATTTGGCTTTGCTGAAATCATTAGATTGCACCCAAAATTTTTTGTGAAATCTGATTTCAACCCAAAGTTTACTGAAAGAATTCTGCAAAAAGCAATACAATCATAGCATCCAGAAGGCTTCTAACCTTGATTTTGCAGGTAAAATCAGCATCCTGATCTGTTAAGCAACTTCAATCTGCTGCACAGTGATGAGGAGAATTTTCTACACCAGCTGGTACTTCTAAAACTACTCCTATAGAACACCATCGAAATCCCAATGATGGAACATGTCCATCAGCTGTCACGG